AATCAGCCCCTTTAAAATAATCACATTTTGTTGCTTTGCAGCCTGAAATGAAGATGGACACAGTTATTGTTTTATCCAGCTGTATTTACTCAGTGCAACTTATAACATCCAAGTAAAAGATAAAACACCAACATGTCAGGAAAAAAAAAAAAAAAACCAGAGTTGGAAAAAGGATCAGCCCTCCTAAAAATGATTTGTAAACTCAATCAGGTGCAGCTAATCACCTTCTCAATGGCACACAAAACTATTTGTCTTTCAACTGTGATCAGCTGTGCTCATTTTGATTATGAAAAGAGCTTTCCTGGAGCATTTCAGTCCTTGGTAGTGCAACTGAAGCAAACAATCAATTATGGGTGGCAAGACACTGTCAAAAGATCTCCGGGATAAAGCTGTGGACAGGCACAAGTCAGGAGACGAATACAAAAAAAAACATTTCAAAGGCTTTATCAATGCCGAGAAGCACAGTGAAGTATATTATTAAGAAGTGGAAGGTATTTGGTAAAACACAGACCCTCCCAGAATCAGGACGTCGCTCCAAACTGGATGAAAGAGCCGGAGGAAACTGCTCAGAGAGGCGACCGAGAGCCCTACAGCAACTCTGAAGCAGCTGCAGGAGTTTATGACAAAGAGTGGCCATTGTGTGCATGAGACAACAATATCACAGATCCTCTGCAGATGTGGCTCGTATGGAAAAAAGCCACTCCTCAAGAAAGGCCACATGCAGTCAGACTGAGCTTTGCCAAAACACACCTCGAAGATTCTGAGGCAGATGAGACTAAAATTGAATTATTTGGCCTCGACACCAAATGATACGTTTGGCGGAAATCCAATCCAGCTCAGCATCCAAATAGCAGCATTCCTGCAGTAAAGCATGGAGCTGGTGATGTCCTGTTATGGGCTGTTTCTCTGCAGCAGTGACTGGAGCACTCGTTAGGATAGAAGGAAAAATGGATGGGGGAAAATACCGTCAAATTCTTGAGGAAAATCTGCTGCCCTCTGCCAGAAAGCTGTCAATGGGAAGAAGGTTTAGCTTCCAACATGACAATGACCCAAAGCACACAGTGGTTGAAGGAGAAGTTGAATGTCCTTGCATGGCCTTCAGAGCCCAGACTCGAACCCCACTGAAAATCTGTGCAATGACTTGAAGCCTGCAGTCCACAAACGCTCTCCATCAGATTGAACTGAACTCGAGCAGTTCTGCAAAGTCTAGATGTGCAAAATTAGTAGAGACATTTCCCAACAGACTAAAGGCTGTAATTAAAGCAAAAGGTGGTTCAACGAAATACTGACACAAGGAGGTGATCCTGTTTCCAACTCAGTGATTCTGTATTATTATTATTTTTTTATGTTGGTGTTTTATCTTTCACTTGGATGTTATAAGTTGCACTGAGTAAATACAGCTGGGTGAAACAAAAACTGTGTCCGTCTTCATTTCAGGCTGCAAAGCAACAAAATGTGATTATTTTAAAGGGGGGGGGGCAATTATTTTCTATACCCACTGTATATGATTATGACCTTAATTGATTGACACCATTATAATAATAAATTAATGCATTTGTGTGTGTCCTCAGATGAGATTTCTGTGAGCATCGGTGAGCAGCTGGAGTTAGTAGTGTAGTCAGTTAAGTAGTATCACGACTCCGTAAGAGATTTTATAGCTATATCGGTCACATAACAAACCTTCTGTATTCTCATCAGGTTGAATCTGCTGCTGCTGAGCTTTCTCAATTGTAGCGGTCAGTATCATTAATATTAATAATTATTTTGAATTGTTTTTTTTTATTTCAGTTCCAGCTAGATTTATTCTAGTCAGCTGTTTTTCTCAGTCAAGTGAATTTAGTGGACATTTGTAGATTGATGGTGGAAATTTCCAATCATATTACATAAATAACACACACTGCCTTCAGTGGTTTGCAGTTCATTCCAGTTCATCACTTCTACAGTTTTATACTATTGTCATCAACATTTGAAACTTTTGTAATGTGCCACATCTAATATCATTGGCTACTTGTTGCCTTCATTTATATATTTTTTAATCCAGTTGACTAAAATACCTACACTATTTTACATTTAAAATTACAGAGAAACACCTTATAAAAATAAATCATGTATTTTTTTTCAGTATTAATACTTTGTATTCAATTAATATTATACTGTCTCTATTTGCAGAAACCTCCACTATACCTGTGAAAGGAGAAAAGGGAGGCAACGTCACACTGACATGCGAATATGAGGCCAAAGACATTTTGGATATTAGTTTAAACAGTCGGTCAGAAAACATAGATGTGTGTCAGGATGAAGAATGTAGTGTTCGAGTGTTTAAAGAAGGAAACTGTGACGTCGTCATCAAGAATCTGAGCTTCAGTGACGCTGGGAAATACTACTTGCATGTCTATTACAATAATGATCAGACAGAGCTGGAGCGACTAATCAGGACGTACCAACTTCATATTCATGGTAAAGACAAAACTGATTAAACCAAAAACATTTGCTTTCTGGATTTTCTTTAGTAATTGTGTGATATTTCATGTAACCAGCAGAGACTCTGAATATTAGTCACCAATATGGGTTTTTCTGATGGCTGATTTCATCTAAATAATGAATGATTACACTTGGTCCTCCGATCCTAAATATGTGCTTATGGCCTTGATTGAGTGACAGCATCATAATAATGATTGTCTGTGTTTCTCCTCAGATGAGATTTCTGTGAGCATCGGTGAGCAGCTGGAGTTAGATGTTCTGTTGTCAGAAGCTGATAAAGTGCAGCATCAGAGCAGAAGAAGCACAGAGTGGATGAAGGTCTGGAGCAGAAGTGATGGAGTTCAGAGCGAACGAATCACCATCAGAGATAGAAACCTGATCATTAGTAACTTTACAGCCAGAGACGCAGGAACATACAGAGTTCTGGACTCTGAAGGAGAAATCTTGATCACAGTGACAGTCACAGGTGAGAGAAACTCAGTAGATGTTAAGAAATGTTATTTTTTAAAGCATTTGGACAGCTGAAGTTTATTCCTATTCGAACATCAACATAAACATTGATGTTAAACTGTGTGACTTACCTTTCAACATCCTCTACAGAATCAGGAAAACAATCAACGGAAAAACTGGACGATACTGAACAACACAGTAAGTAAAACAGGAGGCATTACAAATGATGATCACAGTGACAGTCAGAGGTGAGAGAAGCTCAGTGGATGATTAGAAATATTATCTTTAAAGCATTTATGCAGGTAATGTTACATCATGATTTGAACAGCAAATTAATGCTACACTACTGACTATACTATGTCTAACCTTTCACTATCCTCTACAGAATCAGGCTCAAAGCTTTACAAAATCTTTACAAAAAAAAGTATTATTTTAATATGCATTTAAAGAAGTTGAAGTTTTCTCTATAATTAGGTTTGCATAAATTTAAAGTAAATGAAGGAATCACACGCACGCATGTACGTCATTACGGAATATGTGCGACGCTTACGTACAGCCCGGCTAGCTCAGTCGGTAGAGCATGAGACTCTTAATCTCAGGGTCGTGGGTTCGAGCCCCACGTTGGGCGGAAGTTTTTTATCGTGTTTTGGCGTCTGTGTTTTCTCAGACTCTGTGCCCTGGTCTGTGGGTCTGTGGGTCTGTGGCTCTGTGGGACGGGGTGGTTCTGAAGGCAGTAGCCGTGGATGTTCTCCTTCTGGTCCTCTTCAGTCTCCAGCACAGTCTTCTGGCCTGGACTCCGGTTAAGCGAGTGTTTGGTGTTTTGTCCAGATCCGTGTACTGCTTCACCACCGCCGCAGCACTGCAGGTACCTCTGGCCCCGTTAATGCACTGTATATATTGCATGCTGCCTGATTTTTCTAAAACAGTTATTTTTTAATAAAATATTTAGTTCTCCAAGTGGTGTCCAATTGTAATCTCAGAAATAAATGGATCTATATTGCTTTTTTTAGTTGTGGGATTTAGTATTTTCAATCTTTTAGATGCCACGGACCCCTAAATATGATCATCCCTGTGCGAGGGACTCCAAGTCTCATATTTAAAAGGCAACTAAATATTTAAATGTATAAAGACCCCATTAATACTATGAAAAATTTATATTATAAATATGTATAAAATATTATTTGGATTATGTTGCATCGTTACTTTTCTATTCACCGTAATACTGTACAGTTAGATGTGTTATTTAAATCAAAATGTATTGATTATTGTAAATTTTTTTAATCAAATGCATATATTATTTAAATACAATTTTATTTTTATTTTTTTCACTTCCACACGAACCCAGTAATGTCTAAGTAACTTCTGTAATTACCTACCTTGGCAATTCATTTAATAACACACATCATAACAATGAAATGTGACACTGAGAATATAATATATTCTGCTCTAACTGTATTCTTGTTCTGTGTGTAGATATTGATGCACTATTGGCAGCCGGTCACCAGCGCCCCCTGCCTGTGGTAAGTGCGCAATGCACCCTGGGATATCTGGTTCCCGCTCATCTGTTTTATTTTACACTTCCTGTGCTGGGCCATAATCTGCAGCATCCTGCTCATTTTTGACTATCCAGAACTGCTGGGCATCAAATAGGTACATTTACACCAACAAAAGCTCTATTTTAACTTTGTTAAATTCTAACTCTAACTCTGCTGTTAAACCTGTTGCACACACAATCTCCTGCATGCCTTCTGTCGTCTGATTGATAGTTTAGAGTTTTTTATCCAGTCAAAGCTCTTTTAGTGTAATTGTACAAACGTCCAGCTTCAGCTGGAGCTTCACGTGTCTTTCTGCTGTCAAATCTATAAATTCACTGTAAACCACGGCTTCACGGGGCTTATTGCTTTATTGATTTACAGCGCAAGCATCAGAATTTCATCACATAAATATCAGCATCTGAACCAAATTGCATATTTTGCACTTTATATTTCATATAGCATTTTTTCCTCCAATTTGCACTTGTTTTTTCCCAATTTGCATATTGTAAATCATCTGTCTCCTCTGTTTCTCAAGTGTATTATGAGTGTTTGTGTCTGGGCGACCCTCTCCTGCTGAAGTCTGAGAATGCGCAGCGGCTTTACTCTCACCTCAGGCATCCCGTCTGTGTGGAGCTGCTCACGGTGCTCTGGTTTCTCCCCACGTTCCCGCTGGACCGGCTCCTGCTGGCTGTGTACCTGTCTGTTTACCTGATCCTCGCTCACTCGCTGGACACCCAGGACTGCGCTTACCTGCGCTGGCAGCTGCGCAGCAAACTGCAGCTCTTCTCCGCACCACTAGAGGGATTTCGTTCCCTCGATTTATAAATTGTACGCACGATTTACTAATTCGTTCCCTCGATTTTTTAAATTGTACGCACGATTTACTATTTCGTTCCATCGATTTATAAATTGTACGCACGATTTACTATTTCGTTCCCTCGATTTGCTAAATCGTGCACACGATTTATAAATTCGTTCCCTCGATTTATAAATTGTGCGCACGATTTACTAATTCGTTCCCTCGATTTTTTAAATTGTACGCACGATTTACTATTTCGTTCCATCGATTTATAAATTGTACGCACGATTTACTATTTCGTTCCCTCGATTTATAAATTGTGCACACGATTTACTAATTCGTTCCCTCGATTTTTTAAATTGTGTGCACGATTTACTAATTTGTTCCCTCGATTTTTTTAAATTGTGCGCACGATTTACTAATTAGTTCCCTCGATTTATAAATTGTGCGTACGATTTACTAATTCGTTCCCTTGTTTTTTAAATTGTGCGCACGATTTACTAATTCGTTCCCTTGATTTTTTTAATTGTGCGCACGATTTACTAATTCGTTCCCTCTATTTTTTTTTTATTGTGCGCACGATTTACTAATTCGTTCCCTCGATTTATAAATTGTGAGCACGATTTACTAATTCGTTCCCTCGATTTTTTATAAATTGTGCGCACGATTTACTAATTCGTTCCCTTGATTTATAAATTGTGCGCACGATTTACTAATTTGTTCCCTCGATTTGCTAAATCGTGCATGCAAATTGAGGGAACTAAATAGTAATTGTGTGCACGTTTTAGTACATCGAGGGAACAAATTAGTAAATCGTGCGCACTATTTATTTATTTTTCTTGCATCTTGCATCTCTCCGTAGTTACTTGAGTTCAGAAGTTTTTTTGGGGAGGGGCATTTTCTTTTTTTTCTCTTCCTAACAAAGTCAGGAAGATTTTACCACTAATGCAACTGAATGAACAACAAATGATGCAAATTTAGTGTGTAACTGAGGCTTCATCTGTGCATTTTAGGGAATGATGGGAAATGTAGTTTTGTTGCACAAGCCTCTTGCCTCTTAAACCAAAAATATTGTTGTTCTTCAACAGTACACAAATGCACAACTAAAATTGTACTGTTGACTTCAACAACTTACACGTCTTATAATCAAAACCAATTTGTTTTCATCTTAATTCATTAATTGTCCCACCAATTTTTGACTTTTTTTGATGTTCATGTCTCATACTGATGTGACTTGAAGGCAGCATTACAATCAAAGCTATGTTTGGAATGAAAATACTGCACAATATACTATAAACTGTCCAAAATATCTTTTAAAACTACATGAAACAATATTTGCATGCATCAATGCATCAACAAATGCAGCATATTGCATATTTCACTGCAGTGCCGCATCTGTTTTCATGTGAGTGCATGCATTTTTAATATTGAAATGAAGCTTTTCAAAAATTTGAATCAATTGAACCAGTTGCTTCACAAAATGATTTACGTTTTTTGAATAACACACATAAATGCATTGAAAACTCAGGCCAAATATGCATGAAACACCTTTTACAAAGCAGTTGCAAAGTATAATCTATTAAATGCAATTAACACCATTAAATAAGAAGTGTCTGTGTAATATGTGTTATTTTATTAAATTTGTAGAGCGTGGTTAATCAGACTTGTAAGAGACTATTATCTACAACTCTTCCAGTTTATTATATAAATGTGTTATTAAACAAGAATAAAACTGATCTGAGATCAGGTAAAAACCATATAGACACTGGTTCATGTGACATTCTGAAATGTTTTGAAAGCTTTGTTTACTGAAATCATGTGACTTTGGTTTGATATGCACGGGTTCAAAACAAATGATCCGCAAAGGTTTCAAAGCTTCACACAGCAGTTTCGAAATCACTAATGTTTAATTCAGCAAGTGCTGTCCAGTTATCATCTCGGAAATTAATACGGTTATTGTGTATTTTTGAGCAGTATGACAGTGTGCCATTTCAAAATCTATCTGGTAGTATTTGAAGTCCTCGTCCTTTATGTTCTATTTTCTACACATTTCCACTGTATACATTTATTTATTTAATTTTTTACAAAAGAATAGTTTCTAAAATCAATTTATATATAAATGGATGGATACACACACACACACACAAAGGTATTCAAATTTTTTTGAACAGTAAGATTTTTAATGTTTTTAAAGAATTATCTTCTGCTCACCAAGCCTGCATTTATTTGATCAGAAATACAGCAAATGCAGTAATATTGTGATATATTTGTACTATTTAAAATAACTGCTTTCTATTTGAATCTATTGTAAACTGTAATTTATTCCTGTGATGCGCAGCTGAATTTTCAGCATCATTACTCCAGTCTTCAGTGTCACATGATCTTCAGAAATCATTCTAATATGCTGATTTGCTGCTAAAAAAAAACAATTATTATTATTATTATTATGTTGAAAACAGCTGAGGATAATTTTTTTCAGGTTTCTTTGATGAATAGAAAGATCAGAAGAACAGCGTTTATCTGAAATAGAAATATTTTGTAACATTATAAATGTCTTTATCATCACT